GCTGGTAGTTGCCGGACTAGGCGGGACCCAAGTCTTCCACCTGCCCATCCTCATTGACCCCTCCTCCTCCGTCGCCTCCATCGTGGATGACATCGAGCATCTCCCTGTCTGCATCGTACGCTGGCTCCCCCGCTCTCGGCATTGTAGCAAATAGCGCACGGGCACCCATCTGCTCTTCGCCCATCGTCCTCGCCAGAACAATCGACGGTGATGAATACTCGGAGAAGAGCGGCACCGTGTTAACATCGACGATGTAAGGAGCCGTACCGGCGGAGTTTGTGAGCTGCTTGGAGGTGTAGTAGTATGAAGGCTTGTATAGAGTACAGAAGCATCTATATTTGCAATTTTAGATGATGCATAACAAAGAAGCATGAACATGGTACTTCAGGAGCAGAACTAGCCTTGGATGGAAGCATGGAAACTGATATTGCAACGAAAACTAATATTACCGACATGATACCTACTTTCTCCAAAGGGCGCAGTTGTTTGCCTCCTCCACTTCGGAACAGCTACTGTTTATCCTTGATTTTGAACACGCGTGAATGAATTTCTGAATTCCGAACATACTTGATTTTCTTATGAAATTAAATCTTCTCCTTGTGAGGTTACATTTTGGCTGATGCATTGGGTGGGTCTATAGTATTGTGCATATATGTATATAGTAAAGGAGCTCCGCATCCAGCTCCTGGCACCTCCAAAAGTGCAGGGAGAGGATGTATAGAGAACCTTGCACCAAAAAATCGCTTAGAATTGTTTTTCTAATTATTTCTTTATTTTTACCATATTAAATTATTACTAATTCCTAGCACAATGATAAGGGTGCTTCGTACCACTACACGCCTAAGCTAAATGGTACAAATGCTAGGCTTTCTTTGTTGGCTGTTTTTTGTATTTTTTATCTAGGTTAATTGATCACTATGAATAAATCTCACAAGTGTGCCAATAAAAGAGAACACAATCAATAGTGATTTCTCTTTTTTATCTACGTCAATCTAAATTCGTGAAACTTGATACAAATGTGATACTAATAGTGATTTCTCTTTTTTACTTCGGGAAAACCCTATTATTCCAACTAACCATTATATGTAATGAAGAGTGGTGTGATCAGTCCAACCTGTGCTTCATGTAGCGCAGTGCATCCTCACGGTATCGTGGCTCCCGGCCATTCAACTCAATGTCTATGCGTATGTACAATAATGCAAACCATACAAATTCAATTAGATGTTACTACAACCCTGCATTTCTCAAAACTTTCCATCATTACTTTCCTTAAGATGGATGGGCGCAGCAACGAGCGCCTCTTTGGTCTAGTGGAGATGTAAAACTTGGAGCGTACTAGATGGACCTGACGAATTAGAACAAGGTGTGCATATGCATGTCTGGCCCGCTACTCCGGCAACTAGTTTAGGCCGATCACCGAATTTAGATGTATGAAGATATAAGAACCGAATGGATCTCAGGGAGAGTTGACCGCCGGGATAACAAGTGCAAGCGCGCACCCATACCAAAGTGCTGGGACAACATCATCGACTAACACATCTAGAGATTCACCTTGGACATGGTTTGAGGTACCCTCTAACTCATATTCCAAGTATTCACGGTCACAAAAAGTCAAGAGCATGCATCAATTTCTATGAATCTTATGCTTGCATAATTGGTACTCCTAAAACACTAGATTGTATTGAACATCTCAACACTGCAAATGTGGGCTATTTACCAACCGAAACATGAGGGTGTGAGGGCGCTTAACTGCCACAGAAGTATCTCACCAACTGAATAGTCATGTGAATGCGTAGAAAAGATACTCTATCACATTACTTTTTTTGTTCATCTCCATACATTCCTTTATGCTAAGTATGCTGACTTCTAGTGATGTGTGCCTCTTCCCCACAAACAGTCATTGTGAACTAATTAACATGTAGTTGTAGTCCGTGGTGCAGTCGCATATTCTTTAGCTTAACAGGTCGTACATGTGGGGACACCTTAATCCAGGACACCCTTAGACACCTCTTCCTTAGTTCAAATCTCTCTCTCTCTCTCTCTCTCTCCATGGAATAGTAGGTAAGGTCATTTTGTATCTTGACTGATCGATGGAGCTTGTAGCCCTGTTTGGTTCTGAATTTAGGTTGTTGTGATGGAGGGACTAGTGTTGTTGTCCATTATTGATAATCTTCTCAGTCAATGCGGTCCATATGTAGGCCTTAGGTTGTTGTGATTTTGCTATACAATGTAGTGCATAGTGTTCCTATGCATGCCTTGCTCCTATTGTTAGATTGTAGAGATCGAGGAATAGTAGGTAAGGTTGTTTTCAATCTTTGGATGGCAAGAATACCGATCAATGGATCTTGTCGCGTTGCTTGGTTTCCTTTGTATTCCAGTATCTGTAAACCTGAGCTAGTAGTATTGGGTTATTGCTAAACATGATGTTTTTTTGAGTGGTGTGGATCAGTTCCAACGAGTGCCTGATGGGCTCTTGTTTTGTTGCCCGTTGTAGATTTTTTTATTCAAGTGCCATCTATTTGAAATGCAAGATCTTACTCTTCTGCAGGATGAGCACTAAGGCTACTTATGAGAGAGTTGCGTCGATGGCCCGTGACCATCCAGACTAGATCTCCCTGAAAAAGGACAATGTGGTGAACACTGATGTATCATGATTGGGTGCATTGCTGGCTATCTTGGATTAGATTCAACAACTTCTTATTTTAAGAATTGTGGTGAAGAGTTGTGTTTGATTCTTGTGGTGGAACATGTTTATTTAAGAATTGCGGCATGATGATTTGGAATGGGTTAGCTTTTACAAAGTGTAGCATGAAAGAAATTTGAATTCGACAACAATCGTTGTTCATCCTTGATTTCGACGGGATGCATGAATGAATTTATGAATTCCCTACATACGTGATTTGCTTACCAAATAGAACCATCTTCCTGTGAATTTACATTTTGGCTGATGTATTGGGTGGGTGTATAGTATTATGTGTGTATTTAAAGCAGATGAAGAAAGATGGCAGTAGTGTTGGCTTTTAGAAATCCTTACTATTATTGATATTGATGGGGTAATAATAATCTGTTGTCTTGGTATAAACAAGAGGAGAGTCGGTTAGTAGAAAAGTGTCCAAATACAAAGAAGATAGTTATTAAGCTTCATTTATTTTCCTCTAGCTCCCTTTTCCTCCTGAAATAAAGAAATAAATCGCTGGGAGTTCTTTTAGCTGCTATATTTTGTCTCAAGTACCATTTTTTCACACATCTAAAAAAACTACTCCCTTCGTTCCTAAATATAACTCTTTGTAGAGATTCCACTATGTACCATATACGGATATATTTAGATGCATTTTAAAGTGTAGATTCACTCATTTTGCTCTATATGTGGTACATGGTAGAATCTCTGTAAAGACTTATATTTAGGAACGGAGGGACTATCATTGTTCCAGAAAATAGAATGTTTTTCCTTCACAAAAGTCTTGCTGTTTGTAATACCTAGGATTGATCACCAATACATAGACTCGACGAACCGAATTCGGCCTGCTGCTTGGTGCATATGTAAAAAAAAAAACAAGGCCCAGCCAAAACCACAACTTGATGGAGGCATTCGCTAGGTTTCAGCCAAATGATCTAGGCATGCCCGGCCTAATAATGGCCGGAATTTAGGTAGAAAATGGCAAAGCCTTGTCAAATCTCATAATCCATCGATTTAGGCCAGAATCCATTGATTTAGGCACGAATTAGGCCGGTTGTACGGTTTCAGGCTAAATTTTAGGTCAGATGCATCATACTTGCCTCACACTTGGTGGATCGGTGTGCCTCATGCCGCTGCATTCCGTGATCGGTGCATGGCTATTAAAGCTCTGTGGCAGGCCGGCTATTGAAATGTGGGCACGTTCGGCTGCCTCTGTTAAAAGTACTCGCAGGCCCGTTTCATTCATTCGGTTCTTTCGAATCATCACGTACTAATGGATGTAAAGGGACTATTTCTATGTGTACGCATCCTCGAAACAAATTGCAAGTTCAGATCTTATCTATAAAAAAAGCGGCTATTGAAGCACCGTGTTGTACACCCTTAATCAGTGGCATGCATATTTCGCACAAACAAGCACTGAAAAAAATGAGGCGGTTGCAATTTGCGGTGGGCCGGTGGATAATCTAAAAAGATCCACCACTTCAGCACCCGTTAGAGTTAGCCCCGTCCTTATTATTGCAACAAAGTTAGTGTTGCAGAATCGTTTGCCACGGAGCTCATGTTGCAGAAACAGTCAATAGGAATTGTGTTGCAGATTTTTTTCTCGCCTTCACTTTTTTGCAACATACATGATGTTGCGGAAGGACTTTTGCAACGTGAATGATGTTGCACAAATTAGAGGTAGAACATCGTGTAGAATGGGAGTCTGGGAGGAGCACGGGAGGCGAGGGGTCCAGATCCAGATCATGCAACATACGAGTTGTTGCGATGGACAGACTGCAACAAGGGCTTAATTGCAAAACCGCAAGATACAATGCGAGGTGAGTCCGCGGGACACGCGTCGCAGGGACGAGGCGACGTACGCCCGCGACAGATCCGCCGGCTGAAGCCAAGCATTTCCCTTTTCAGAATCAGTTAGTATTTGTTAGCGTAAAAAGCTTCCATGAGGCTCATAGTTGAATAAACAGAAGGCCGTGAAAGGCCCATAAACAAAGTGAAAACCGAAAACTAAACACATCGACGTTCTTATAGTTGGTCAAAAAAAGAAAAATTGACGTTCGTATATCATCGATCGAGTCGGGAACGACATGCATACGTGTGCCTTCGCATCGACACGTCACGGCATCTTGTTAACCGTCAGATCGGCAGAACTCACGGCGGAGATCACCAACGTGACGCGTCCAAGTTTAAACAGGAGTCGGAGACCGCCTCAGGCCGATTCCTCCTTACGCAGCACGCACGCACGCACGCAATAAATACGTACGACGGCCTCCTCTTCCTCTCCAAAAAGGAACAGAGACGAAGCAAAACAAGTCAGTCGACAATGGCTCGTTCCGCGTCGACGTGCTGGATGTTGGCTACGCTCCTCGCCGCGTTGCTTCTCGCGATCCCAGCTGCTGCTTCCGCCGCTGCGCCCACGGAAGGCGGCAGCACGGGCACCGTCATCGGCATCGACCTCGGCACCACCTACTCCTGCGTCGGCGTCTACCGGAACGGCCGCGTCGAGATCATCGCCAACGACCAGGGCAACCGGATCACCCCCTCCTGGGTCGCCTTCACCGACGGAGGCGAGCGCCTCATCGGCGAGGCCGCCAAGAACCAGGCGGCCGCCAACCCGGAGCGCACCATCTACGACGCCAAGCGCCTCATCGGCCGCGACTTCGCCGACGCCGTCGTGCAGCGCGACATCAAGCTGCTGCCCTACTCCGTCGTCGACCGCAAGGGCAAGCCGCACATCCAGGTGCAGGTCAAGGACGGCGACGTGCGCGTCTTCAGCCCCGAGGAGGTCAGCGCCATGGTGCTTACCAGGATGAAGGAGACCGCCGAAGCCTACCTCGGCGAGAAGGTCACGCACGCCGTCGTCACCGTGCCGGCCTACTTCAACGACGCGCAGCGCCAGGCCACCAAGGACGCCGGCGTCATCGCCGGGCTCAACGTCATCCGCATCGTCAACGAGCCCACCGCCGCGGCCATCGCCTACGGCATCGACGAGAAGGGGCCCGAGAAGAACGTCCTCGTCTTCGACCTCGGCGGCGGCACCTTTGACGTCAGCGTGCTCTCCATCGACAATGGCGTCTTCGAGGTCCTGGCCACCAACGGCGACACGCACCTCGGCGGTGAGGATTTCGACCAGCGCCTCATGGACTACTTCATCAAGCTCATCAAGCGGAAGCACGGCCGCGACATCGCCGGCGACCTGCGCGCGCTGGGGAAGCTGCGCCGGGAGTGCGAGCGCGCCAAGCGTGCGCTCAGCAACCAGCACCAGGTGCGCGTCGAGATCGAATCGCTCTTCGACGGCGTCGACTTCTCGGAGCCGCTCACCAGGGCACGGTTCGAGGAGCTCAACGCCGACCTTTTCCGCAAGACGATGGTGCCGGTGAAGAAGGCCATGGCGGACGCCGGGCTAAGCAAGGCTGACATCGACGAGATCGTGCTCGTCGGTGGCAGCACCAGAATTCCCAAGGTGCAGCAGCTCCTCAAGGACTACTTCAACGGCAAGGAACCCAACAAAGGGGTCAACCCCGACGAGGCCGTCGCGTACGGCGCCGCCGTGCAAGCCAGCATCGTGAGCGGACATGTCGACGAGAACACCAAAACCATGATCCTGCTTGACGTCGCGCCGCTTACACTAGGCATGGAGACGGTCGGCGGCGTGATGACCAAGCTGATCCCGAGGAACACGGTGGTGCCGACGAAGAAGACACAGGTGTTCACCACGTATCAGGACAAGCAGACCACCGTGTCCATCAAGGTCTACGAGGGCGAGCGGAGCATGACCAAGGACAACAGGCTCCTCGGCAAGTTCGATCTCTCCGGAATCCCGCCGGCTCCGAGGGGCACGCCGCAGATCGAGGTGACGTTCGAGGTGGACGTGAACGGCATCCTGCACGTGAAGGCGGCGGACAAGGGCACCGGCAAGTCGGAGAAGATCACCATCACCAACGACGACCGTCGGCATAGCCAGGAGGACATCGACCGGATGGTGCGCGAGGCTGAGGAGTTCGCCGAGGCGGATCACAAGCTCAAGGAGCGGGTCGACGCTCGGAACAAGCTAGAGACGTACGTGTACGGCATCAAGAACACTGTCGACGGCAAGATGGGCGATGCCATGGAGAGCGATGAGAAGGAGAAGATCAAGGATGCGGCGAGGGAGGTGAACGAGTGGCTCGATGACAACGCGGAGGCGGAGAAGGACGACTACGATGAGAAGCTCCGGGAGCTGGAAGACGTGTGCGGCCCTATCATCACGGCGGTGTACCAGAGGTCTGGAGGTGCACCAACCGAGGAAGACGAACATGATGAACTCTAGACACAGGCAGCTTGTTAGATCTTTATAGCATCACTGGTTTTAATTATCATTTTCTACGTAGATATGCACGTTGCGTTGCATCTTCCTGTAATATAAAGTTGTGGCATAGTAATTAATTCTAGTTTAGAACGTAATCACTGGTTAAACATGATTTGGTTTTATGTGTGCACTTTGTTTCAGTGATTTATTGAAATGCATGTATATACAACTCTAGTGAATCTCTAGTTGTGTAGCTGATCATGTTGTGTCCCACCACAAGGACCGTAACTACATTGGGGAAGACACAAGTGGGTCAACCGGAAATTGCAACACTGAACAACATAGCAAGTTCTCTTCCACACATGTAGCAGAGATTAATACGGAACCAACCATTGTCCAAAATTTATTGTCAAATTTGCTTCTTCCCTTGATTTTCTGCATAGCGAATAGACTAATTCTTTCAAGGCAAAATATTGCAAAATAAGGGTTGTCAGGCTCTTAAGTTCTTTTTGTGTACCGCCCATACCTTTGTACAACGCATCTCCTGGTTAATAAAAATAATCAACATTTTCAATGTGATGAATTCACGACAACAAAGATTTCTAAGGGAGAGTAACAGTACTGGTTAGCTAATCATACGAAAGATTTTCATGAAAATTGATGCAATTTTTTGTCAATTTAATAGAGTAAGTGAGGCAGCAGAAAACTAGTGCCCCACATGGACGTTGGTTGGTACTAGCCGAGGACGCCTTATGACACCATGAGGTCATGAGGATAAACCGCACTGTTATGCTACTATTTTGTCTTTACTACCTGTGTTAATTAATTGACCTAATATCATTATGGTAGTGTCCCAGAGGTTCAAAGGTGCGGACGAGACTTGCCTGTTCCCTTCCCGTGCTCCCATCCGTGCTCCCGCGTACGTGGCTTGATTTGATTGGAAGAAAATAAGGCCCGGCTCCACCCCCTGAAAATTAGGGGGGGGGGGAGATGATTAGATTAGAAAAGAAAAAGAGAAAATGACAGCCGTAGGATGAAGTGGGAGCACGGATGGGAGCATGGGAAGGGAGCAGGCAAGCCGGATCCCAAAGGTGCAGCCCTATCATCGCGGCGGTGTACTAGAGATCCGGAGGTGCACCGGATGACAATCGTGATGAACTCTAGGCACGGACAAGTTGTTTGATCTTTAGTAATCAGTAGTCTTATCTTTTTTATATAAATACATGTACATATGCACGTTCCTGTAATAGAAGGTTGTGATATTGTTATAATGATACTTTTTTAGATGTCTCGAAAAATGGTACTTGAGACAAAATATAGTAGCTAAAAAAACTCCCAACGATTTCTTTCTTTATTTCAGGAGGAAAAGGGAGTGCTATTAGAGGAAAATAAATGAAGCTTAATAACTATCTTCTTTGTATTTGGACACTTTTCTAACTGACTCTCCTCCTTTTTATACCAAGACAACTGATTATTATTTACCCCCATCAATATCAATAATAGGATGGATTTCTAAAGGCCAACACTACTGCCATATTTCTTCATCTCCTTTAAATACACAACAATACTATCACCCACCCAATGCATTAGCCAAAATGTAAATTCACTGGAAGATGGTTCTATTTGGTAAGCAAATCACGTATGTAGGGAATTCAGAAACGAAATTCATGCATGCATGCCCTCAAAATCAAGGATGAACAATGACTGTTGTTGAATTCAAATTTCTCTAATGCTACGCTTTGTAAAAGCTAACCCATTCCAAATCATCATCATGCCAAGAAGCAAGAATCATGTTCCACGACAAAAATCAAACTCAACTCTTCACCACAATTCTAAAATAAGAAGTTGTTAAATCTAATCCTAGACAGCCAGCAATGCACCCCATCATGATAGCGTCAGTGTTTACCATGCCATCCTTCTTTAGACAGATTTAGTCTGGACGGTCACGAGTCATCGACACAACTCTCTCATGAGTAGCATTAGTGCTCATCACACCATAATGCAGAAGAGTAAGATCTTGCATTTCAAATAGATGACACTTGAATAAAAAAATTCTATTGTGGGCAACAAAACAAGAACCGATCAGGCACTTGTCGGAACACCGAAACAACATCACAATTAGCAACAACCCAATACTACTATCTCATATTTACAGATACTGGAAATATAAAGGAAACCAAGCAACGCTACAAGCTCCATTGACCAGTCTTCTCGCCATCCGAAGATCGAAAACAACTTTACCTACTATTCCTCAATCTCTACATTTTAACAACACGAGCAAGGCATGCATAGAGTAAAATCACATCAACCTAAAGCCTACATATGGACCGCACCGACTGAGAAGATTATCAACAACGGACAACAACACTAGTTACTCCACCACAACAACCTAAATTCAGAACCAAGCAGGGATACAAGCTCCATCGATCGGTCAAGGTCGAAAACGACCTTACCTACTATTCCACGGCTCGATGGCTAGACCATCTGAGAGAGAGAGAGAGAGAGAGAGAGAGAGAGAGAGAGAGAGCAAGGACACTTGAACCGAGGAAGAGGTTTCCGCCACTGTTTGCTACTCTTTGTCTTTACTACATGTGTTAACTAATTGACCTAATATTGTTCTGATGAAGTAAAAAAGAGAAGCTACTGTTAGTATCATCTGTATTAAGTTTCACAATTTTAGATTGGCTCATCTTCTTAATTTCATTGGCACGTTAATGAGATTTATTCACATTGGTCACTTGTCCTAGATGAAAGGAACAAAATAATGCTAGCAGAGGAAGCCTAGCATTTTGTAGCATTTAGTCTTTGGTAAACTCCTAGTGATAGGAAACACCCTCAAGAAAATAAAATATCATCGTCGTGGGTAATGATATTTTAATATGATAAAAATAAGAAATAATGTAAGACATTCTAATTGATATTTATTTGGTTTACAAGGGCAACATGGTACAATAGATGTGTTAAAGTTTAGGTGGCAAATTTCCAGAGCATTTATAGAAGTTAAAGGTGTCATTCTTGAAATAAATATGGATTTGATCCTTGGTTCCATTACTGTGAACAACGAAACCAACAACGTGGGTGTCATTCTTAATGAAAATTTCAAATCATTAATTGTATGATTATTCAGTTGGTGAAGCACTTCTATTGCAGTTACTCCATCGCACCCTCATGTATCGGTTGGTAAATACTCCCTCCGTCCCAAAATACTTGTCGTAGAAATGCATAAAAATGGATGTATCTAGAACTAAAATATATCTAGATACATCCATTGCCCCGACAAGTATTTCCGGACAGAGGGAGTAGTTTATAGCCCTCATTTGTAGTGTTGGGAATTTATAGGAGTACCAGTTATTGGAATGGTGGGAGGTAGAGGTTAACTAAGTATGTGGGCGACATCTGTGTCAACATGTGTTAGCCAAGAATTATGTTGTCATATAGATGCGGCTGCACCACGAACTACAACCACATGTTAGTTCACAAGAATTGTTTTCCGGGAAGAGGCATGCATCACTAAAAGTCAGCATACTTAGCATAAATGAATGTGGTAGAGTATCTTTTCTATAGCGCATTCACATGATTGTTCACTTGGTGAGACACTTCTATGCTAGTTAAGCGCTCTCACACCCTCATCTTTCGGTTGGTAAATAGCCCACATTTGAAGTGTTGAGATGTTCAAAATAGTCAGATCTTTTAGGAGATTATGCAAGCATAAGATTCAAAGAAACTGATGCATGTTATTGACTTGTTGTGTGGCGAATACTTAGAGGGAAACTCAATCAATGTCCAAGGTAAATATCTAGATGAGTTACTCAATGATGTTGTCCCAACACCATAGGAGACACAATTGGGTACGGTTGCGCGCTTGCGCATGTTATCCCGACGGTCAAATCTGCTTGAGATCTGTTCAGTTCATATATCTTTATACATCTAAACTCGGTGACCAGCCTAAACTAGTTGCGGGAGTAGAAGATCAGACATACATATGCATGTCTTTTCATTGGGTCCATCTAGTACGCTCTAAGTTCTACATCTCAACAGAAAGGTCACATCTTACTCGGCGACACCGCATCCCACCCATTTCCGGTCCTTACTCTAAAGCTCGGTGTGGATCTTAAGTTATATTAGTGTCATATTCAGATAAGATTTCATTCATTCTCCCATGTCTTTGTACATGGGCCTTCTCGATTGATAGAATAATCAACATTTTCAAGGTGCTGAATTCACAATAGTGAAAACATTGTATGTACTCTTGTGCAGAATTCATGTATTAAGAGGCAACTTGAAAACTAGTGTAGCCAACATATAGATGCTGAATGGTACTAACCGAGGATGCCTCAGGAGTGTGACGCCCGGATAATTAAGCTATAGTAACCCTCTCCTAATGATGCCATGTCACCGCTGTCACTTTAGTTAATCTTGCGATAGTTCGAAACCGATTTGAATTCAATTTAAAATCAGGCAAACAACAAAAGTTTTCAAAAATTAAAACTAAAATGTTCAGGTTGTGTCAAATAAATCGTAAGTAATTATGGTGGAGAAACCAAACTTTGATAAAATGTTTAAAGGCTCTAAAACAATTAAAACAGTAGTGAAAACAATTAAACAAATGCCTATTGAATTTATAAAATGCTAAAACTATTTTATTACGGGTTAATAATTAATCTCACAGTAGTTTGTTGATAAATACAAATTTAGGCACTAGTGGTAATTTTTATAAAACTAAAGATAAATGAAACTACAAATAAAAAATAAAAGAAAATAAAATATAAAATAAAACAAAAATA